TAACCTCTTTCTCTCTTTCCCTTCTGTTGCAATCCATAATTTACGCTCTTAGCTGAGTTCATTGTGTATGGATCTGTATAATGGGATGTGTCAAGGAATGTGGATTGATTTTAACTATTTCCCACATTTTTCCTCCTTTATGTTTGTAGGATCAATTAATTGTTAAATATTAGCGCAGTGCATTTGCGCTTAATTTAGAATACTTAGCTTTACTTAAAGATTTAAGTGTGAAGCTGATCAACCTTGTGTGGGTGATTATTTTATTTTGTGAGAGATGTTGAAGTCAGGAGTAGAGTATTTAAAATTCTAAACGACTAATATTCTAAAGATTGACAACAGTGCAATAGGTGTAGTTCTGAGCTATCATTTCTTCTCCCGCTGAGGTAAGAATCTGTTGTTGTTTTCTAGCAGATTGAAACTCGTAAATTTAAGATTGACAATGATATGTTTTGGAAAGATGGCAAACCATTCAGGATTATAGGTGGTGATTTGCATTACTTCCGGGTTCTTCCTGAGGTATTTGATATTCCTCTCTCCACCTGTATTATGTTTTTCGTCACGGTATTGTTAGGCCCAGTTGTCTGTAATTGATTACTAATGATAGCTCAATCATGTGTATTTTGTTAAGGCATGGAAACTTTAGAGGACGCCATGTTTTGCAGTATTACATAAGGGTCAACAAGTTTAAAAAACTTAGGAAGAATTATTTTTCATTGATGATTGTCATGAAAAAACAAGCCATATGTGAAAAAGTAACACAAACACTACTGTTATTTAGGCTTCTTATATATCTAGAATTATTTTTTAAACACAATACCGCTTATATCTGTTTCTTTGAATACAAGTAAGCTCTTTCATTTTGCCCGCCATTTTTTCTGGTGATTTTGGTACGTTGTATCCATGATTTGTTGATGCAGTACTGGGAAGACAGACTTTTGAGAGCAAAAGCACTGGGATTGAATACTATCCAAACTTATGTCCCTTGGAATCTACATGAACCAAAGCCAGGAAAATTGGTCTTTGAGGGTGTTGCAGACCTAGTAGCCTTTCTCAAACTCTGCCAGAAGCTGGATTTTGTAGTTATGCTTCGCGCTGGGCCTTATATATGTGGAGGTCAGTCTTAACCTTCATAATAAAATTTATCATTCAATAATCTGATATGCATCTGGACCTTGCTGCCTATGTTTTTCTTTGAATTCTTTACTTGCCATCTCATTTTCAAAATATGGCCTTTAATAGTGTTTCTTGGATTTGAAAGCTCTCCCAAGGCTAAAGTCTTCATTTGGACTGCTGTCCTAGACTTGACTAACACTATAATCTGCTTCTGGCATGCAGACCTCATTAAGCTTTATTTTTGGGTATTTAGTTGATGTGCTTTTATAAGTCTCTAGTCCTGTAGCCATCTGTTTGCTCGATCTCTACCGAAATGGAACAGGGCTTCTTTTAGCTATTATGTGGAGAAATTGGGCCTCTCTCTTCTATCAAAACCTGCTTGTCTTCTTGTTTTATGTTTTTGTAGGAGTATATCTCATACTCCTATTATGTTCTTTCTGTTCCTTTTTTTTCTCTATTATATTTTTTCCTTTATAAAGAAAAAGTAGGCATTCTTTCTCACACAAAATCGTGTGAGAATTTGATTGAAAGCGTAATGTTTCTTGTGCTTGTTTTAGTTTTTTTCTGGAGCCATTATATGAATGATGTCTATTAAATAAGCCTCTTTAGTGATAGGGAGACCTTTGTGCAAAAGCTTTTGTGTTAAACCAGTATAGTTCCTACTCACAAAGAGGTCGTAGAATCCTCAAAAGTTTGTCTCTTTTTCCTCTCAATATTACCCAAAAGATAATGTGAGGAATGAAAGAAGACAGCCTTCTCTTGCACTTAGTGGCTGACAGACTGCTCCATGCCCATACAGTTTCATGTTTTGCTGATTTTCCTTCTCTTTTTAAATGGAAGATTCAGAGTTTTTTCACAAATAATTGCTTGAACATTAAGCATGTTGGAGATAGGAGGAAGATGTTAGAGAGATTAATGAGAAGACTCAAGTTTTTTCTATTGTGGTTGTTGCAAAAAAACTTGAAGTACATGATTATTTATAAACACTATTATAACTATTAGAATTAATTGTAACCACTAACAAATATAATAAATTTAATTTATGACCAAAAACTACTAACAAACCAAAGGATCTATTGAAACTCTAATTTATGAAGTTCAACTACTAATATACTAATTAATTATATTCTTAATTTGCAAATTAATTTTTAACACTACCCCTTAATTTGCAAATCTTCTTTTCAATCCAAGATTAGTGCGTAAACTTCAAACTTGAGCGGTTTGGTGAAAATATCCGCCGCTTGATCTTTGATCTTTACGTGCTTGAGCTCTAGTTCCTTTTTAGCAATGCAATCTCTAATAAAATGATATCTTGTGCTTATGTGTTTGCTTCGTTCATGAAATACTGAGTTCTCGGCTAATGTTTGTGCGGACTTATTGTCAATAAAAGTTTCAATAGCTTCATCTTGTGTCAAATGAAGTTTCTTCAACAAACTTCTTAGCTATATAACATGATAAGCACAAGAGGTTGCTGTCACATATTCAGACTTACAAGTTGATATTGTAACAATGACTTGCTTTTTAAAACTTCATGTAATTGCACAATCATCTATAAAGAATACGAAATCAATTGTACTTTTTCTATCATCAATATGTTCAGCAAAATCATTATCACAAAATCCCACAAGTTTGAAATTATAAGAAGATGAATAAAATAATCCAAAATTAATAGTACTTTTAAGGTAGCGTAGAACTCTTTTAGCAACATTCATGTGAGAGCTGGTAGGAGCTTCCATAAAACTACTTATTAGTTCAATTGCAAAAAGAATATTAGGCATTGTAAATGTCAAGTTGTCGAATACCATATTTTATTATTTAATTAGTTAATTATTTAATTATTTGGTATTATGTAAGTAGGATTTTATAAGAATAATAATTTCATATTATTAGAATTTTAATAGAATAATAATTTTTTTATTAATAGATTATGAATTTATAAATACTCAGATGTAACAAATTAAAAGGTGAGAAGTAAAATTATTTATTTTTTTCCTAAATTCTACATGATATCAAAGCAAAAATAAGGGTATTTTAGTATTTTTAATTTTAGGGTTTCTTTCAAAATCCTAAAATATTCTCACCACCTAGCCAAACGGAGTCCTAACCTCACTGGCGGCCTGCCGCCCTGTTCCGGTGAGCATCTCCGGCCTACCCAATCTCTCTGCTCTGGCCGCACTCGGCTGTTCGTGCTGCTTTCTCACGCACAGCCTCTGGTTTGCAGTATTTTCTTCTTTGGCTTCCTCGGACGCAGCAACTGGTTCGCATACAACCTCCTATTTGTCCTCTGCCTCTTCGCACAGCTTCTAATCCGTGATTTTCGCTGTTTCTGCTTTCTGGCTTCAGCTTCTTGGTGCATCTGCGTCTGCGTTTGATCAAAAGATACTGGTTCCAGAGGCTTCCTAGTTGCCAATCAGCTTGCTTCGGTTTTGCCTTCGACCAGATCGAGGAGAACAGAATGTCTGATCCGATTGTTTTTCAGTTTCGCAAATCGGATCCAAATTTGCACAACCACTAATGCGCGACACGGTGGAAGAAGAACGTCAGGCCGCTGCAAGTTAGTTCTGTCCGAAGAAGAAGCCGAGCCCGAGCTATTTTTGAGCCGACTTCAAGCCCTTTTTTGAGCCGACTTTAAGCCGTTTTGAGCCGAGTTGAGTTGCTGCCTTGCCAGACAGATCTGCATTTTGCACGTGCGAGCCGTTATGACCAACCTTCTTTAGTCTTTTTTTGGCTCCTTTGCGCGCGACTGCCTCTGATTTCGTGACTAGGCCTTTTTTGCGCACAAGCTGCTTTGACCAACCTTTTCTAGTCCTTTTTCCAATTCTTCTACGCGTGCCCGCCTCTAGTTTCGCGATCCGGCGCAGATCGGCTTCTTTTACATGCAAGCATCTCTGACCAGCCTTTTCTGGTCTTTTTTTGGCTCTTCTATGCGTGTACGTCTCGGGTTTGCAACTTGATATGCAAGTTGGGCATGTGTGATATTCCTGCATCAATTTGAGAGGGGTGTTAATACCATATTTTATTATTTAATTAATTAATTATTTAGTATTATGTAATTAGAATTTTATGAGAATAATAATTTTATATTATTAGAATTTTAATAGAAAAAGAATTTCTTTATTAATAAGTTAAAAATTTTATAAATATTTAAGTGTAACAAATTAAAGGGTGAGAAATAATTTTTTTTTTTTTCCTCCTAAAATTCTACATAAGTATCTCAAACTTTCCATGAGATTTTTAAAGATAGTGGGATCTACTTTTTTTCCATTATTAAACTTTGATAACTTGACTCCACATTCCATAGGTGTGTTCACATGATTGCAATTAAATATTTTAAATTTCTTGAAGACTTTTCTTGCATAGTCTTCTTGAGAAATAAAAATACCATCTTTCATTTGATTCACCTCAAGACCTAAATAGTAAGACATGAGCCTCCATATTCGTCATTTCAAATTCAAGTAACATGTATTTCTTGAATTTTTCAAATAAATTTGGATTGTTGCTTGTAAAGATAAGTTTATCCTCATATAGACACGCAAATAGAAAATCACTATTAGAATAATACTTCACATATGGAGCATATTCATGAAGGCAACGAATAAATCCATTATCTTCAAAATACCTATTTATATAGCTATTCCATGCTCTTGGCGCTTGCTTTAGCCCGTACAAAGTTTTCTTCATCTTCAACACTTTATTTTCATGCCCTTCAACTGCGAAATCCAACGGTTGTTGTACATAAACCTCTTTATTAAGATAGCCATTGAGAAATGCTGATTTTACATCATGTTGAAAAAATTTTCACTTCATTTTAGCCGAAATAGCTAAGAGCAAGCGAATAGTCTCCATGCGAGCAACTAGTGCAAAAACCTCATCATAATCAATCCCATGCTTTTGCTTGTATCCTTTAGTCACAAGTCTTGCCTTGTATATTTTTACATTTCTTTGAGAATCCTTTTTTGTTTTATAGACCCATTTGACAACAATAACTTTATGTTCCTTAAGAATACTGGTTAGTTCCCATATGTTGTTATTTTCTATAGATTTGATCTCTTCCTCCATGGCTTGTCTCCATCTTGCATCTTTGATGATTTTGATAAAATTCGTTGGTTCACTCACTATCAAGGAAAAGACAAAACAAATCATTTATATTAAAATTAATGGTCTCACCAGTTTCATCATAGAGATTTTGAATGCTTTCATCTTTCGTGGTCTTTCACTTGAACTTTCTTGAGAGGTGGGTGAAGCAACATGAGTTGGAGAATGAGGTGGAGTTGCCTCTTGCAAAGGTATCATGGTCTCTTGGCCTTCCTCTTCAAAGTATGGAAAGAAATCATAAGCATTTTCTTATTTCTTCTCTGTCAAAATATAGATATGTTGGTAAGAGATTAGGAGAATTAATTGAAAATCCTGTAAATTGAGGGATTAAAAGGTTAGGTTTCCTAATGAGTTAGTGTCCTATTTAGGAATGAGTAGGTTTTCTGATGAGTTAGTTTTCTATTTTTTTTTCTCTTATAACCTACTATATAATATCATGTATTATTAATTCAGAAATAAAAATCTTTCTTTTCTTCTCATATTTCCTCACATGGTATCAGAGTTCTAAGCTCTTTTCTGGGAATTCTAACTCTATTCTCTTTAGTCTTAATTGCTGAACGATCTTTCTTTCAGCCGTTATTGTTGATCTTGTTCTTTTATTTCTCATTCTTTAATTCCCGTTTGGGCAGTCTTAATTGCTATTGATTTCCTTCATCATGTCAACCTCCTAAACTACCGACACCACTGCCTCTAGCAATTCAAATCCACTTGAAGAGTCCAACTCTATTCACAAAATTGGAGAATTGCAGAATATTCGGGCCTCCTATAGGCTCAATGGGAAGAACTACTTCAAATGGTCTCAATTTGTTCACACATACCTCAAGGGCAAAGGATGACTTAATCAGCTTCTTGGAACGGGATCAGCAAAGGATGACCCATCGTTTGAAGCATGAGACGAGGAGGATTCCATGATAATGTCTTGGCTATGGGATTTTATGGATCCCATGATCAGTGATACGTACATGTTTTTTGCTACAACAAATAAAATTTGGGATTTCATTCGTCGCACATATTTGAAGGCCCATGATGCTGCTCAAGTGTACGAGATTAATGTAAGAATTGCGGCCACTAAGCAAGGAGACAAATCTGTCACAGAATATGCAAACCTGCTGCAAAACCTATGGCAACAACTTGATCATTACCGAATACTTGGCAAGGAGGACATCCCTCATATAGAAGAGATAATATCATTGATTCGAGCAGAAGAAAGTCGAAGGAGTGTTATGCTTCAAACAGAACAAACTGTGAACGAGTCAGCTCTAATAACAAAAACAGATCATCAGGAGAAAGGAAAGGGTAATCTAACTCAACACCCTGGTAGAGAAAACCAGTGGAAAGAGAACAAGGATAATCTCTGGTGCACCTATTGCAAGAAACAGAGGCACACAAAAGAGAAGTGTTGGAAATTGAATGGTAAGCCACCAAGCTGAGAATTGGAGAATCGTTGGGGGCAACAAAGGCCTCAGACACATATGGTAGAGCAACCCAAAACTAAGGAAAATTCAACAACAGGGGGATTCAACAATGAAGAAATTGAGAAGCTGAGAAACCTGTTGGGGTCTCTTGAGAAGCCTTCTGAATCGTGTTCTCTAGCTTTTACAGGTAAACCTTCATTCTCTTTTTGCATGAATGCCTCGGAAACATTATACGCTAATTCTTGGATAATAGATTCTGGTGCCCCAAATCATATTACCCTTAGAAATGTTCTCCATGTACCGAAACTATCAACCAACCTAGTTTTCATTCAAAAACTAACCCATGATCTTAAATGTTATATCACTTTTTCCCCTTCTTATTGTGTTTTTCAGGATCAACATTCGGGTAGGAGGATTGGACTTGCTAAGAAAAGAAGCGGTCTTTACCATCTTGAATCATAAAAAAATAGTAGAAGTAATTTGTCTTTGGTTTTCTTCAGTTCCACAAATAAAGATGTCCTTTGGCTGTATCACCTACGCCTAGTCCATCCATCTTTTAACGTTTTAAAAGTCATGTTTTCTCATTTGTTCCATGGACTAGATCTGTCTGAATTTCATTGACACTTGTGAATTAGTAAAACATGCTCGTGTATCTTTTCCTATCAACAATGAAAGAACCTCTCGTCCTTTTCATTTAATTCATAGTGACATATAGGCTCCTTCTACATTACCAAATGTTTCTGGGACTCGTTGGTTTGTATCCTTAATAGATGATTGCACTTGGGCTACTTGGCTTTTTCTTCTTAAACAAAAATATGATGTTAGCATGGTTATACCCAACTTCCACTCATTGGTTCAAAACTAATTTGAGGTTAAAATAAAAAGCTTTAGAACAGACAATGTTAGAGACTACTTCAACTAGATTTTATCACCCTATTCTCAATCACAGAGCATTATCCATGAATCATCATGTGTGTATACCTCAATAAAATGGGATAGCTGAAAGGAAAAATGGATACTTAACACCACTCGGGCCTTACTTTTTCAAGAGAATATTCCTAAATCCTACTGGGGAGAAGCTGTTCTTATTGCCACACACCTGATAAATAGATTTGCCTCACATGTGTTAGACAACAAAAGTCCCATAGAAATCTTTAATGGTTTTTACCCTCCCTTCAGAACCTCAAATGGCCTAACACCCAGTGTATTTGGGTACACTGCTTTTGTTCATGTTCACAACCAACAAAGAGGCAAGTTAAATCCCCGAGCCATAAAATGAGTTTTCCTTGGTTACTCATCCACTCAAAAGGAATACAAGTGTTACAACCCTTGATTCAGAAAATTTTACATTTCTGCAGATGTCACATTCACAGAAAATAAACTTTTTTTCTCCAAGTTCTCTTTTCATGGGAAGATTTCAATGATGGAAGATAGTACTTGTGAGTCCTTTTAACCAATTAAAACTCTTGACCTTCCTCAGGTTCCAGTCCATGCTGTTGAATTTGAGACCTCTGACCTAATCACATATGAGTCATTCACTTCTGCTGTTGAACCCGTGTCACCTCTTGTCCCTACCAGTGCAAGTCAAAAGTTATCAAGGTTCACTTAGGTGTATTCAAGAAGAAAGACCGTTCCAGAACTGATACAAGTCTAAGAATCCAACCCAGACTTTGGAAATGAGATCACGGTAAAGATGTGACGCACCTTTACATATACAATCTGTTGAAGCACTTAATAATATAAAAGACGACCTAGACCTTCCCATTGCTATGAAAAAAGGTACCAGAGAATGCACTAAACAACTGCTTTACCCATTATCTCACTATGTCTCTCTTAAACACCTATCACCATCATACAAAAAGTTCATTGTAAATCTAAACGTTATTACTATCCATAACATTGTTTCTGGGCATTGTCAAAAAGAGAATGGAGGTATGTTATGAGAGAAGAGATGAATGCATTAGAAAAGAATAAAACATGGGAGATTGTTGATAAACCAAAAGAGAAAAACACTGTTGACTGTAAATGGATTTTCATACTGAAATACAAGGCTGATGGATCTCTTGAGAGATATAAAGAAAGGTTGGTGGCCAAAGGGTATACTCAATGTAGAATTATTTTTTTGTATTTTTTCTTTTTTCTGTCTTTTACAACCTGGCAATATAACAAAATGGTTATTGCCAGGTTGTGCTTTTTTTTTCCTTCCACTAAGGAAGTTTGTTAGTTTTTTGTCTTTTTCTTCCTTTGCCTATAAAATGTTGCTGATTATCGATGAATAAAAAGTGTGAGAAGAAAGAGGAGTTATTTCTTCTTCTCAAGTTCTTCATGGTATCAGAGCAAGCCTGATTCAAATTCTTCAGCATCCCTCTTGCATTCAATAGGCAATGGATGAGCAGACCCCTTCACCTAAAGTTCTTTTGGGTTCTCACCTTCCGGTGCTTGACCGCCATGCTCTTGCTGATCAGGCTCCATCTTTCGTTACTGACCATCGACTAAATGATAGTAACTATCTTCAATGGTCATCTTCGGTATTGATGTTCATCCGAGGGAAAGGCCGAGATGAATATCTCACTAGAGAACTCTCACCTCCTCCCGCGAACGATCCAAATGCTCGGATATGGAAAGTTGAGAACAATCTTGTTATATCTTGGTTGGTGAACTCAATGACCACTGAGAATGGTGAAAATTTCCTCCTTTATGAGACTGTGCATGATATCTGGGTCGCAGCTCGTGAGTTCTACTCCACTTGAGACAACACTTTCGCCATCTTCGAAATCAAAATAAACCTTCACGACCTGCGCCAAGAAGAAAAAACAGTAACTCAATATTACAATTTTCTTACTCGAAAATGGTAGCAACTTGATGTTTTTGAGGAACATGCTTGGGAGCTGCTTAGAGGATGCCAAGAGATTCCGAAGTATCGTGGAACAGAGACGAATCTTCAAGTTCCTTTTCAGACTGAACAAAAACCTCGACGAGGTAAGAGAATGCATCTTTGGAACCAAACCTCTCCCGAACATCAGAGAAATGTTCTCTGAGGTACGACGCGAAGAAAGCAGGAAGAAAGTGATGATGGGTGACTCGCAATTCTTGACCCTGCTGAAAGCATATCTCTATCACCCAAGACTGGTACTGTTCTCACAAGTCGGGTGACTGAGCGAAAGGGAGGGCCATGGTGTGAATATTGTAAAAGGCCGGGATACGTTCGTGGAAGATGCTGGAAGCTTCACGGGAAATCAGCTGAGAAGAAGAAAACACCAAAGCAGGAAATGGAGGAAATTCATCGGGGTAATTTTATCTCAACAGAGGAGGGATCCACTGCAGCCGTTTCTATCGGAAGCTCCTTATTTAGTCATGAAAAAATCAGTCTCCTCCAAAAATTGTTTTCGCCCAATATGATTCCCAGTAATGCTCTACAGTTCACAAAGGTAATTTTTCTGGTTTCTCAACTTATTCCACAAAAAACGGAATATGGAGTATTGACTCAGGTGCTTCCGATCATATGACTGGAGATATCTCACTATTTAAGAAATATAGTAAGTGGAGAAGTAAATTCTCAGTTAAAATTGCTGATGACTCTAGCTCCCAGGTCGAAGGAACAGGAATAATTGCACTGACACCCAAGTTAATTTTGTACTCTGTGCTATATGTTCTAAATTTGGATTGCAATCTCCTGTCAGTAAGTAAATTATCACAGGACTTGAATTGTGTGGTTACATTTAACTCTAAACTGTGTGAATTTCAGGACTTGGACTCGGGAAAGACGATTGGCAATGCTAGTATGGATTCGGGTCTTTATCTACTGCAAGTTGACAACTATTCTCTTAATAGACAAACTCATCATGCAGTATGTATTAATTCTGAATCTGTAAACAACTTAAATATGGAATGCCCTATCATATTATGACATTATCGTTTAGGACATTCTAATTTCGTGTACTTGAAAAAACTATTTCCTGATTTGTTTCGAAATGAAAAATCAACTTCTTTTCAATGTAAAGTATGTCAGCTGTCCAAACATAATCGAAATTCATTTCCCAGTTCTGTTTAGAAACCCGCAAAACCTCTTTCATTAATTCATAGTGATGTATGAGGTTCCTCTCGGGTCACTAATATTATCAGGACAAAATGGTTTGTATCTTTTGTTGATGATCACACTAGAATTAATTGGATTTTTCTCATGAAAGAAAAATCTGAAGTTGGCCAGATTTTTAAAAAATTTCACATTGTGATTCAAAATCAATTTCACACAAACATCCAAGTAGTGAGGTCAGACAATGGGTGTAAATACCTTGAAACCATTTTAAGCCAATATTTTTCTGACTATGGCATTATCCATCAAAGTTCCTGTGTCAATAATCCACAATAAAATGGTATACCTGAACGAAAAAATAGACACATTCTTGAAGCAGCCCGATCAATCATGTTCATTATCCACATTCTAAAATTGCTTTGGGGAGAGGCTGTTCTCACCGCTACATACTTGATAAACCGTGTGCCCTTCCGAACTCTCTCATTTCGAACACCCTATGATATCCTCCTCAGGGCCTTTCTGCAATCTCATATTCTTCGTACCCTTCCCCATAAAGCTTTTAGTTGTTCTGCCTATGTTCATGTTCATACTCACCTCATGGGTAAACTTGACCCACGGGTCATTAAATGTATTTTTGTTGGATATTCACCAAGTCAAAAAGAATACAAATATTTTTGTCCCAAGACCCGTCGTTTCTACAACACTATAGATGTCACTTTGTTTGAAAACCAGTTCTTCTATCCCACTACTGATATTCAGGGGGTGAATACTAATCAGGAATATCAAGTATGGGATATAAGTACACCGCCTCTCACTTTTTGTTCCCTCACTATTCCCGAGTTCTCATCAAATTTTCCTGAACTTAGTATCAAAGAGTCTGAACCTGAACCTATACCTACTACTATCAACAAAGAGTTACGTGTCTATATTAAGAGACACAAAACTTCAGTTAATAAAGATTTTGAACCAACTACACATTACCATGAGTCTATTCCAGTTCCAAGCAGTAAGAACACATCAGGTAATAAGTTTTCAGGCACAATTTCTGATACGGTTACCACTACTGATCATGATACTGAATATCTATTGTTTTGTGGAAAGGAACTCGATTTTGTACTAAACACTCTATATAGGATTACATTTCATTAAGCAAC